CCCCCCCCCCCCCCCCCCACACACACACACACACACATTGGTGCACGGCCTGGTTTGAGGGCAGTCTAAAATAAAGAAACATGGAAATGAACACAACAAACGCTGTATAACCTTTCACGACCCACCTGAGAACTCCATCTTGTGGATTTGACAAACTGCCTACTATGACTCCCTGTACACAACTACCATTTTGCTGATGTGTGAGGTGGCCCAGAATGTGCTGGTGCATTCTGCTGACGTTCAAGGCTACGCTGTTATTGTTTGTATAAATGTTTGCTGTAGGCTACATCATCGTGGCCTTTGCTGCAGCTTTTCTGCTGAGAAAAGCTTCTGTTTAGTGAGGAAAAGCAGTGTTTTTATGGCCTCTGGGACACTTAGACTACTCCACTCTACAGCTGCAACCAAGGACACACAGGTCTCTACAGATTACACTGTATCTGTAGATAACTGCCAGTAACACTGAATAACAACCTTCGTTAATAAATAGTAAACTCATAGTCAATTTAACTTTAGTAAAACCGTATTTTACGGTCAACAATGACATTATACTTATTAATGTTTAATGTCATTAGTGCAGCTATAATTTATATCATTACTTTGTGTGATGTTTATAAATGATATATTGTATAATAGTACAATAATTGTACTATTATAATAATAGTAATTGTCACTTTTTATTGTTGCGCGCATTAAAACATAGTATTCACTATATTAAATATTTGTCAATGATTACCAAATGTTTTGTAAACCTTTAAGAAATTGTTTGGAAAAAATCTATAAATAATACGTAGATAGACCAGAGACTAATGAACTATCTATCTATGTAATGTTTATAGATGATTTATAAAGTATTTATTAACCATTTTTCTTAATAATCACCAGTTGTTACTTTATAATTGTCATCTAAGTAATGTTTATAGACGGTTTACAAACCGATTATTAACTATTAATAAAGTGTTACAATCTGGTCCATCTATCTATAGATGTCTGACAAACTATTTCTTAAAAGGTTTACAAGTCATTTGGTAAATACTTCATATAGTATATCAAATTGTATAATGCACACAACAATAAACTGTTATAATGACATGAATTATGCCATTTCATTACTACTAATTCGTAAACATTATTAATCATAATTTTGCTAAAAGTTAAATATCTTTGCTACAAAGAGTCCTGTCCTCAACCGCCTTGTCTGTCATTGTTTTTCAATTCTAGTCGTTTTGGGAGAATATTAACTATAATATTTAAACATAAATTACATTATTTCCCCCCAAAAACGAGCATATAAGGTGGAACTGTACTAAGTATGGCCTGTAGTCTTCATTTGAAGCTGAATGGGCAGATTGTACGTAGACTCATAAGAAATCCAGGAGCAAAAAAGGTCCTCAAAACACCCGCTGCACTTATATTACCATATTTATATACCATTATTATATTATCATATAATAAGTTCCATCAGCTACAATCTCCTCTCATCTCGACAATAAGAGGTCACTATTCTGAGAGGCACTAACCCATGTTGTGCATTTACATACACGTGTATTAATATCTCTGTCTCCATCGTTCTTTTAAACATTCATTTACTAATATGTTTTTTTAAGGAGGAAAAGAACAGAAATGAGTTGAACAGTGAGCTAATGTGTTGTGATGGATGCTGCATAAACAGATACCTCTCTCCTCCTGATGAGAAGTTCATCCAACTCATCCTATATCCTGCTCTCTCCATCCTCATGATGTAGATGAGGAGACAAACAGAGAGAGTCTACTCCACGCAATCCTAATTACAGAAAGCATTCTCTACTTCAATGGGTCTTTCAGAGAGCAACATAACAAGGGAACAATTTGTTTCCTGGCTGCTTCAAAAAGGCCGTCCTCAAACCACAGGGTGACATCACGACGACTACGTCCACTTCCTATACACGGTCTATTGTTTCTCATTGCATCGGCGAGGCTTCATAGACGACGAGGAGCTGATCGTGCTCAGACGGGGATATTTCTTAAAAGACTGTGATGCTGGAAAGGATTATTGAAATTATGAGCAGAGATACTCTGAGTGAAGTGAGCTTACAATGCAGTGAAACATTGCTGCTGTGGCGATAGCAAAGACGACATCCACTGTCTCGTGCACTGCATTGAATGCTTCTATCCGTGTGTGTGACATGTTTGGGATTATGGTGTGTGAGTGCATCTGTGGTTGCATGCACGTGTGTCACCCTGTACGCTGTGACTCACAGAGTTCAGGTTCAGGTCGAGCGTGCACAACAAGCGCCCCTTCATTCTGTGTGTTTGCGTCCACTGACAGGTGTGACTCTACGCTTGTATGAGAAAAGAGAGCGCGGCCTTCATACATGTGAAGAAACCAATGTAGGTTCATGCGTGATGCAAGTACTCTCACTTGTCTAGTTGCATATGTTTGAGCATGTGTATATGTGTGTGCATATTATTGATGATACTCACATCATTCCTATTTTCTCTGACGGTGTCAGACCATGCATGCTGAGACAAAGTCTTCGCATCGTCCTATTAACGTACAATGCAGGCTCAGAATACTCCTCTGGCCTCTTTCTGTGTACATGTGTGTATTCAGCAACACAACGGACCAGGTGCGCACATACTGGACTCGGGTGCGTGCGGGATCGGGTACTCACGGCGTTCATGTCGATGCCGTTGGTGTAGGACCAGGCGTGCTGGAAGTACTCCTCCAGCCTCTGCCTGAGCGGGTTGGGGATCTGGTGGAAGCGGATGAACTCCCGGACTCTGAGCATCTGTGTGTGGTAGCGGGCCGTGCCCGAGTACAGCCGCTGGATGATGGCGGACACGTTCCCGAAGATGCTGGCGTACATCAGGGCTGGAGGGTGGGAGATGGGGATAGAGGGTGAGAAGTGAGGGAGGATTTAGAAAGTGTGAGGATGGAGGATGCAAGTGAAGGTAGGCAGGAAGGGAGAAAGTCACATATACATTAAGAGAGAGTACAGCGCCGCGCGGGTCCTCGATACACTGATGTGACCTGACATATTTCCAGCTGACTGTCTTCTCCATCTGAAAAGAAATATAATGTTAAGCTTGACACCCTGGGGTGATATGTTTCATAAAATATACTGTAAGTGACGAAGGGCAAGGAGCAGAAGAGAGAGAGAGGAAGCTCAGACAGCTGGTGGTATAATAACGGAGCTTGATATTAGCATGAATAAGAGCTGTGTAAACTCGTTAATACATCAGTTAAAACACAGCTTTTTATCATGGTCATTTACATGTTCATACTTGTAACTGGGGTTTTTACGAGAACATGTTTACATGCTTTATTGTTCAAAACAATACAGTATTTCTCTCATATTGTCTGTCAGAATGTACATGTATCTGTCTAAAAGGCTTTGTTTTAGCGCCCGTCCCTTCAAGCCCCTCCTCTCCGGTAAAAAAGCCTGCCCTGTTTGGTCAGCGTTTTCTGGTCTTCTGCATCTGTCGCCGTCTTTTCAGCGTTACTATTTATATATTATTATATTATGATATAATTATTATATAAAGATGATATAATTTAACATATTTATTATTAGTCTACGTTTAGTATTTGTTGAATGATTTTTATTCTTATAGTGCTTCAAAATGAGAGAAATGGGAGTGCAACGCAAATAAAGTTATTATCATTGAGTTATATGTATACATAGGCATAGATACACAGACTCCAGTATGTGATAGTGCCCTCTCTAAACACAAGGGCCTGGTGTGCTACAACATCCAGAAAAGAAAGGAAGCCTTGCTCTTGGTCACTGTGCTCATTGACTTACAGAGATAAGCTAACATTCAAATACTGTAAGCTGTCTTGGCATAAAAAGCTAATTTCACGCCTTCTTTAAGCTTGTCGTAAATCAATACTTTGTGTAACTATCCCTTCTACCACGACTTAGTAAGAAACACAGAGGGAATTTCCCACTGAAAAGATTTTAACTTCAACAACTGAGACTGTTGAGCACTTTGGAAAGCAAGTTAGCACTTAAAGGGATCGTTGGGATTCATTGAAGTGGGGTTAATGAGGTAGTTGGTCCATAGTCAGTGTGTTACAAGGTTGTAAGGTTCATTTATTGTCATTGTGCAACAGGGACCAACACTTAGTCTGGACACTGTAGACCTCTTAGTCACAGGGACGATGGTGGCTGTCTTGAAGCAGGTGGGAATCATAGACTGTATATAAGAAGTGGACGCAGTCATCGTGATGTCACACATTGGTTTGAGGCCGTTATGAAGCCTTGATTTTCACATTGTCCACATCACACACTAAAGCTGCCGTGTGTGTGTGTAATTTTACACATGCGCTGTCACAAGGGACTCAATTGATCAGATTTTCTTTCTGAGGTTTTATAATGCTCATTGAGATTTCAAAGTGCACTTTAATTCTAGAGCATCAGAATCTTGCACTTCTTTAATTGACATTTGACATTTGACGAGGCCTGCAGCCCAAACACACCAGAGTTGAACTAACTTTAGATTTGACCTGTGGATAACTGTAACCACGCTCAAATATATGCTTTCTTTCATCAACACAAAATGATGAGTGCTCGCATGCAAAGAACAAGCCGTCACTAGTCACTGGTTTAAAACACCATATTCATGTTCTCATCCTACGGTTAGCCTGATCAACGAGGTCCAGGGCTCTGCCAGCCTGCAGAGGTAATTACTCTGTGGAGAGGAAGCTGAGTTGATAAGCATGACAGGAGATATTACAATCCCTGCTGATTAATTGTATTAATAAATCATCACGCGATATGCTTTCAGAATGTAAAGTATGATCCATGGCTTTGTGCAGCTGCTGTAACTATAGCAAGAATGTTTATTAAGAACTGAAAATGTTAAATTGTTGTGGTCTTGTAGTTATTTTTGTCTGTGGTTGTTTTGACCCTTTTTGAGCTTTGTAGTTTTGTGTGTCTAGTTATGGTTGTTTTAGTCTCTTTTCATAGACATCGTAAGTCTCTCTGTGTCTCTTTGCAGCTGTTTTGCATCTCTGTCCTTGTTTTCATAGATATGACGTCTCGGCTGTCTGTGTCATGCTTCTGTAGAGGAAAACGGGTTAAAAATAGCTATACATCTAAAAACTAATCGCACAAATGTATTGACGCTGTCTTTGAAGATTTTATCGCGAAAAATGTCAAGAACATTTTATCGGCCAGCCCCATCATTTCTCTCAAAATAAATAAAACCAATTTAGTTCATTTTCACGCATCAGCTCCCACTTTCATCCACTAAAAGAAATGTATGAGATACTTAAGGGAGTTATCAATACTTAGTTTTGAGACAGATGCTACGATGATGAACTGAAAGTGTCGCCTCCGTACAGCAGCAGAGCAGCAGGAGTCAGGTTCACTTATCATGTGACCGTAGTGAGGAGAGTGGGCCGACAACACGACGGAGGAGCCATTTAAAGCACTCTAAAGTGACATTCTTATGAAAACACTTCTACACTCTACTTCTAGCATAACATCAGGACTTACATCCTATGAGCATGACACAGATGGAGAAGATCTTCTCAGAGTTGGTGTTGGGGGAAACGTTTCCAAAGCCCACGCTGGTCAGGCTGCTGAAGGTGAAGTACAGGGCGGTGACGTACTTGTCTTTGATGGAGGGTCCCGAACCTGGAGGGTGAAATTTAGAGCTGACACGAATATTTCACAAAATGGTCTTGGCCTGACAGAACGACAGATGATCACTGATGATCATCCCACAATCACAACCAAACACAATTTGATTCTGGTGAAGCGTGTTTTCTACTAACTTGCTTCCAGCTGAGGCAGACAGAAGCACTGCAGCACCTCTGAGCAGTGCTGCTGCAGTGCTTAGTTCTCTCAGTACCTATGATGGAGCTGTTGTAGGTCTTTCCCAACTGGTCCCCCAGTGTGTGGAGCCAGCCAATGGCACCGTTCCTCTCCACGCTACCGATGGCATACCTGGGAAAAATAACAGCCATAATATGAATGCATGTATATAACTGCTGATGTTAGCAATAATTAGCGTCGGTAAAAAGGCAAACTAAAGGGATTTTCAAACTCCTAAAAGTTGTCAAAATATAATGTCTTATTGATTCAGAAGTTTTCTACCATTTAACTGTGGTTAGAATCAAATAAACGTGATGATTGACACCACAACAAAAGGGCATAATAAATTAATCACATATATATATATATTTAAAGTAGTGTATTGAAGTTGCGAATTTCAATATTGTGACAGCACAAGCCCCCATACAACACCCGTTCTGATGCGTGCAGACACGCGATCATTCCCACATTACTCCTCCATCTGTGAACCCTCGTCTGATTCACCAGACAGTCTTATGGCACCGTACCAGATGCAGGCCAGCCAGTGAGCGATGAGGGCGAAGGTGCACATGAGGAGGAAGAGGACGGCCGCGCCGTACTCCGAGTAGCGGTCCAGCTTCCTGGCCACGCGCACCAGGCGCAGGAGACGAGCCGTCTTCAGCAGACCAATCAGAGTGGTGGTCTGAGAGGGAGTGGGAGAGACAGAGCGTCGGTTGTTGGTGATGAGATGAGGTAAAAAAAAAA